TTTTTTTTTTTTTGCCCAGAATTGCTTATGATTTTCTAGGTCTCTTCTGGTTCCAGATGAATTTTAGAAATGTTTTCTCTAAATCTATGAGGTATACTAATGACATTTTAACCAGGATGGCATTGAATCTGTATCAGAATTTTGAGAGTGTGGCCATTTTCACAATGTTGGTTATTTCTGTCCACAAGCAAGGAATATCTTTTCATTTTCTAAAATCCTCTTTGATCTCTTTTTTTCAGAATACTATAATTTTCACTGTAGAAATCTTTTGCTTCCTTTTTGAGATTGGTTCATAAGTATTTCTCTTTTTGTGGCTGTTACTGTGAAAAGCGTGGTTTCCCTAATTTCCCTCTCGAATGCTCCTTGTTTTCTGCTCAGACTTCCTGATTGTGATCTCAGTCTGTTGCTGCTGTGGTCACGTAGAAGGTGGACTGGCTGCTACAGAGCATCCCAACAGGCCTGCCTTGGTTCCGTGAGGCTGAGCCAGCTCAGCAGGACTGGGATTGGACCAGAGAGCTGCCCTGAGGGGTGGCATTGGGGCTTTGGAAGTCCTTAGGCCTAAAGGCCCACTTCACCTGGTGACCTATCTGCCTGGTACTGGAGGACATTAGGAGGTGGCCAGTTCTCTTGCAAAGTAAAGCACATTTAAAAGAAATTCTCTGTGTTCAACTAAAATGTGTTATGTGACGTCATGGTCGTGGCAGCAGCTTATCACAAGGGGCTACTGTTTGTCATGGACAAGGTCCAAGGAAGTCCCCAAGAAGGGCATGGGGACCTCACGTCACCATGCCCGAGGGTGGGTTATAGGTTTGTTGGCTTTACCACAGGAAAAGAATGTTCTCCTTGCATCAGTGAGAGGCATGAGGGGGTTTAAGAGGCAGAATTAGCCCTCAGGATGGGTCTGGCCCTGTGTAGTGGGGTCCATTTATGGGGAGCCTATGGGTGTCTTCAGGATGGCGGCATAGAATGTGGGCTGCTGTTGTGTGTCAGGTTGCCAGAGGTGGCTGCACGAGGTCTCACACTATTCACGTGTGTTTGAAGGGAGCTATGCCACACACCAGTGTCACTGCTTCCTTCAAGATGCAGGGCTGGGCCAGGGATATAGCTCAGTGGTCTAAGCACCTGCTTGGCTAGTGCACGGACCTGGGTTTGATCCCCAGCACCCCACGCCATGCAGGCCCCACGCTGAGCCAGCCACCAAACCGAGCATGGTGGCACATGCCTGTAATCCCATGAATTTGGACCTGGTACCAAATAAATAAGATTTGTAGGGCTGTGGAAGGAAGCTCTGTTGACAATTGAAAAGCACAGGCCGGGGGTCCATTTTACAGGACCATTGTGTGTTTCAGGCCCTTAGGCATTTTTATTTATTTATTTATTTATTTATTTGGAGTAAGCTTCCTCAAAGAGAGTGAGGCTCAAGTAACTTTTGTGTCCTGCACCTGCCATTTTTCTTAAAAGTACAGTTTCACAACTTTCCTTGGCTCCTTGCTGACTGCTTTCATTTCATCTTCCTACCTTGTGTTCAAACAAAATTGAACCCTCGAAATGGAAGACTCCCGGCAGCTTGACCAGAGAGCCTTCCTGATCCCATTTATGTTGTTCTTTATTGTGATTGTTACCAGAATTCCTGGGAAGAAAGCACATAAGAGGAAAAGGCAGTGAAGGTGGAGTAAGGTCCGATTGTTTTCTCCTTGCAGAAAAGCCCAAAGAGAACACCGTGGACTTCCTCTCCCCTATGCTTCCTGTGATCTGTGGTGAGGCAAAGGGGATTTTATACAAGGAGAAAATGAAACAAGGAGGTGAGTTCTGGGGTTTCTGCTCTCTGATTCCCAGGATGCAGGAGCTGGGAGAAGGGAAGCAGGTGCGTGCTGTAGTGGAGCAGGAGAGGACATGCTAGCCAGGCTGCGGCCAAGCAGGGCTTCCTCAGAAGGGGCGCTCTGTCTCGTGGTGTGTGGCAGCCAGAAGTCTGTACACCTGCCTGGAACTCTCCCATGGGCCCCGCAGCGCTCAGCACCTGTCCTTGCTGTGTGCTGCTGCCACAGGAAACGCAGAGTCCATCCCACTCTCTCAACATGTGGGCAGGAGTCAGGGCATCTTGCCAACTAAGAGAAATGGAAGCCAGATGCCCCTGCCGCTGCCGAGCCTCCCCGGGGTCCCTCCTGACCCAGGAAAGTGGAGCACTGCAGTTAGGAGCGTTGGGGTCGAGGTGGACCCAGGAAGGGGCTGTCTTTCCTTTACAGGAGCCTCAGAGAAGAGCATTCAGAATGAGAAGGGAGCATGGCTCTCACCAAAAGAATTCACAGTTGAAGGAAAAAGGGAAAGATCAAAAGACTGGAAGAGAAGTGTGTGCTGCGGAGGGAAGACCCTAAGGCAGCTGATGGAGGTATTGTAATGACCAGGGATGGGTGAAAGGGTGGTAGACTGTGCAGCTGAAGAGCAAAGGCATTTCCACGAGGATTCAACAGCATGATTTTGAAACTTAGAAAGAGCTAAGTTGTCATTGAGAAAAATATTTTGTGTAAAGAACAGGAACTCAGCTTGGTGCTGGTGGTGAAGTCCTTAAATGCAAACAAAGTAGTGGGAGAATTCTAAAGGCAGGCAGAGGGACTTGAGATCAGGAGAGCTCAGTCTGGTGGTTTGGGGCAAGTGGATCAGAAACCAGCTGAAGACAGAGGCACCTGGAGCACCACCTGGTGAGGGCCTCCTGCAGACCCAGCTCACTGGCCCCTCTCTGGGGATCTCGGGGCCATCACGCCCATGGTTGGCTTCTCCGCTGCACTCCTGTGGAACACTGGTCCTATCCAGAGGACAACTGTGGAGGGGCTTCTTTGTGAGGCTAGGACCCAGAATAGTGTCTCTCAGGATCATTTGAAAAGGGATGAAATTTTAAGGATTTTTACCTGGATCCTTTTTTTTTTTTTTTTTTAAGTATTTGCTTATTTGATACAGGGTCTCACTACGCAGTTCAGATTCATAGTGATCCTCCTGTCTCAGCCTTCCCAGAGCTGGGATTACAGGCATGGCATGTGGGATCGAACTTGGGTCCTTGCACTTGCCAGGCAGGCACTTAGACTGCTGAGCTGTCCCCCTACCTGGAGAGGAAGAAATAGAAAGAGAAGGGAGAGGTAGGAAACGAGTCGAGTTGAAGTAACAGGGACAAAGTGATGTTATCCTTAAGTGGAGTCCAAAAGAAGATTATGGGAAGGGGCTAAGTTTTGTGTTTTTTTTTTTCTACACATCTTGGGTTTGAATCTAGGGGGCCAACCAAGTACAGATACTTACAAGGAAGGGAGAACTTCAAAACTAACAAAAGAGGAGTTGCAGGATAATCTCATCCATTAGCTGCTTCTCTTTTTCAGATTGGAATTTTGCTTTGTCCTCCAATAAAAAAACCTCAAGTGAAAAATACGCAGCAGCTGAATTCCCCCTGCCTTCTCCGTCAGCCAAGGGGCCAGTCACATCTGGTTACAGCATCTTCATCGAGACTACGTCCACGTGCACATGCCCGTTTCCATGGTGACATAAACAGCTCTCTAAAATAAAAGTCAAGACAAAATCTCATGATGTCCATGTGTTCTTGGAAAAAATCTGGATATTGGGGTGACTGCAAGCCAAGGGTGTCAGAAATAGAGTGGTCTGTTGACAAACAGACTGGACATTGACTGGGACCACAGCAGTTTGTGCCAGGGCAGGAGGGTTGTCCTCCCCCGAGCACCAAGTTTTGCGAAGGCTCTGTGCCTAGTTCCAGTAGCACAGGAGGGCAGAGCACTGGGAAGCGGAGTTATTTGTGTCTCAGGCTGGCCTCTGGGGAAGGCGGAGCCTGCACTAACCTGTCCACCACTGCGGCTTCTTGCTTACGCACGTGGTCCAGCCTTGGGTCATCTCCGGAGAAGAATGTCCACTGGAAGCAGTGGTGCCCAGGAAGCTAGCCTGGCCCTTGGCTGTGCATGCCAGGTGTGTGGGCCCCGACTACCATTTCAGGCATAAACTATCTTTTTTTGGTGCTGATTTGAAATACCTTGGGAATCAGGGCTGCTCCTTGAAACGTCATCATAACAAAATCTTATGGAAGAGCAGAAATTGCATGGATGTTATGAGATAAACCAATGCACCTACAGAATGAGCAGAATTGAGTTTTTTTAAAAACATGTATTCACAGGTACTGCTGCGGTCTGAATGTCCCCACCAAAACTCATGTTGAAATATAATCTCCATTGTGAAATTAATCCAGATATGGTATTTGGAAGGGGAGCTCCTCTACGAGCTAATGAAGGTTAAGCTAATAGAGGTGGGGTCCTCACCCAAGAGGACAGTTGTAAGAAGAGGAGGAGAGCCCTGAGTAGACCCATCTGCTTACTGGGTGATGCCCTGCTCTGCTTAGGACCAACTGGATGAGGACACCCAGCCTTAAACTTCCAAGCTTTTGAAACCAGAGCTGAATAAGCCTTGTTTTGTTTATAAGTGATTTAGTGTGTGGTACACAGTTGTGGTAGCAGAAAATAAACCAAGACAGGCAAGGACCCTTCAGCCAGTGGCAAACCACCAAAAGGCTTGGAGGTGAGGAGGTCTTCAGGAAGCTTACTGTGGTAACGTGTGGGCTAAGGACCCAGCCTGGTTCACATCAGTACGGCAGTCTTTCCTGACAAAATGTCTAGAAGAATCAACTGCGCTCAATCAGGGACAGGGCTAGGTACCTTCGCCTTCTGTCTGATCCACTTATGTGCCGTGGGAACTTTTATAAAGACTTTTATAACCAGAACAACTGGACTAGGACAACAGGTACTTTGCCTCCTGTATTCTATGCTTATGCCCAGTTGGAAGTTATATAATGACTATTACTTTAGAAACCAGAAAACAAAAAAAAAAAAAAAAAAAAAAAAAAAAAAGATCTTTAAAGTCCAGGGCATTAGTTAATAGCCACAATGTCACAGACATTCTGAGTCTTCCAGTGCGGCCTGTGGGCAGGACACAGAGCTGGTGCCACTCTCAGCCCCACCTGCTAGAGGTCGCTTCGGCCTTCTGACAGTGAAGGCCAGTTCTGAGCGAGGACAGACCCATGAAGGCCTTTTCTGCAGCCAGGTTGCCTAGCATGTCGCCACCACTCCTGCCCACCCCGTCTCCACCAGGTGCAGCTCTGTGTGTACGAGGAGAGGGGATGCAACACTCCATAGCTGTGCTGTGCTTGCTCTGTGGGGTGCTGTCTCTGACACCCAAGGTACCCTGGGTGGGGTGTGGCAACAGTTTCTGGGGCCTGTGCACCTCCTCTGCAAGGGCTCTGTGTAGCCGGCAGGTGCAGCCGGCAGGTCCAGCCAGCAGGTTTAGCCCCTCTGCACTTAGTGGGTGGCTGAGAAAAGCTCAGGATTTTGTTGTTCTTAGCAGAAACCCATGCCTAGCAGGAGTGGTTAGAGACCTCAGGAGGCAGGAGGAGGGGCTGCCAGTGGCTCTACAGTGACTGAGTGATGGTGCAGGTGGTCAAATCCTACAGCCTTGGGGTGGGGGGAGCTCAAGTGGACCAACGTTGAAGTGTGGCATGAGCAGAACCTGTAAGTGAGGCGAGCGCTGTGTCTAGAAAATAAACCTGAGACTTGTTGTCCACTGGGGCCCAACAGGAGCCCTGGATAGAGCCACTATCTCCTTCTAGGAGGAACTGAGTCTGACTGTGCTATAGAAGGGGACAGGAAATGTCCACTGCCATCCTTGCCCATAAACCTTCCATGAGGTGTCACCTCCTGCCCAACAGTGATATCAGAGATTAGTGGAACAAGCCCCACCCACCACCCGTGGCTCCATTGCCAGGGGAAGGCAGGCCCGAGAGCACCATGCGTGTGTCTGAGGCTATGCCTGCATCACTGGACCTCATGCTGCCACGTTCCCACGTTGCCTTCTGCAATAGGGACGCCTGTCTGAGAAAGCTGGGGCAGGAAGTGCCAGTTGCCTACAGTTTGTGTTTATTCAGGACAGCGTGTCTGGCTGTGTACCTCACTGGGCCTCCCCAGGCAGACAGAGGCCTGAGGTCCCCCAAAGTTGGCATCTAGGTCCCGTGTCTAGACCCAGCCAGAGGCTCTGCTGCTCGCAGCGATACCCTTCTCCGTGGACTCCTTTCCTGCCATCACGCTGATAGGAGGAGGCTTTGGCTGGACCCCCTGTGGGGGTGCTCAGACGCTGCAGGATGTGTCCACCTCCCCAAGCTGCTCCTGAAGGACAGTGCAGCCATAGGAACAGCGGCCGTTTCTAGGGTCCTTGCCCTCTGCTCACCTTACGTGCAGGTCCTCAGGACCCTGTGCAGTGGCACCTCCTGCAGGATGAAGTCCTTGGGAGCCACCAGGGTCTTCGAGAGCCTAAGATCCTGCATGAGCTGCTGCAGTCCAAGCCCTCCCCTTTCCCTAATCTCATGAGAAGCATGTCCAGGCCTGGGATGAGGGAATAGCACCCAAAGGCACCTTAATTGCCTCACTGTAGAAGACAGGGATGGATGCCGAAGCACAAGCCCTGCCTGGCAGAGCTGGGCCAGCATGGCAGGAGGCTGGCCACATCTTGCTGCCTGTTCCTGTGCATACCTGGCTGTAGGCTGGGCCTGCCCTGCTCCTCGCAGCCTTCGGCCTTTCTCTACATTGTACAAAAATGTGTGTCCCTCCTCACTGTCGCCCAGTGAGCTCCTGAGCAGTATCAGTCATAGTTGATGATTCTCTTATGGAAAATGTGATCAAGAAAGCTTGGTAAGTCCTACCGGTGCTGCTCTTCCCTCAGCAGAAGGCCAACAGGGTGTCACTGTAGGTCCTGGTCTTGGTCTGGGCCCAGCCTCCACTGCACCATGTGCCTGGTGGGTTGTTTGGTGTCCCATGTGCTTCAGGTTGATCTGTTCAGTGCAGATGTCTGCCTGACAAACAGTCCAGGAATGAGGAAACAGGCCAGAGCTGGGGAGTGGCTTGATAGGAGAGCATGTGCCCGGTATGTGCAAGCCCTGGGGTCCATCCCTGGCACCCCAAACAGCAAGCAAAGAAGAGACGCTGAGATGTGTGAATTCCTGCCCCAGCAGTAGCACTTCCTAGCTAAGAAGTCTTGAGCAGGTCCCTTCAGGTCCCCATCCTTCAGTTTCCTCATCTGTGAAGTGGGGGTGATGCAGGCACCCGTGTCAGAGGGCTGCTGTGCTGCTCTCGTGCTCATGTGCGCAGCAGTGCTTAGGACAGTACCTAGCCAAACTGCCAATGCTATCATTGTTAATTTCATTACAAATGAAGTTGGACTCATTAAAAGCTTATAATGGCTTATATAACCCTATTGGTGGCCTTATTGCTAGATTCAGTGCTGTTCTGAGCCCTTCAAAGGAACTACGTGGGCAGGTGTTGTGGCACATTCCTGTAATCCTAGCACTTGGGAGGCGGAGGCAGGAAGAGTGCCACAAGCTTAAGGTCAGCCTAAGCTACATGGCAAGACCCTGTCTCAAAGTGAAAGAAAGAAGAAAGAATGAAAGAGAGAGAGAAAGAAAGAGAGAGAAAGCAAGCAAGCAAGCAAACAAGCTGGTGAGATAGCTCAGCAGACTAAGCACCGGCTTAGGCAAGTACAGGGACTGGGATTCAACCCCTGGCTCCACAGGCCACATTGGCCCTGCCCCTGGGCATGCTGAGCCAGCAACAGAGACCAGGCATGGTGACGCACGCCTGTGATCCCAGTGCTTTGGAGATTGAAAACAGGAGGATCATTATGAGTTCAAGCTGCATAGTGAGACTCTACCAAACACATAAAAAGAAGGAAAGAAGGAAGGAAGGAAGGAAGGAAGGAAGGAAGGAAGGAAGGAAGGAAGGAAGAAGGAAGGAAGGAGTACTTGGAGTATTGAAGAAAAGCCTGACTAAGGAAGCACACCCAGCACAGGGATTGCTGTCAGACATATACCTGGTCTTTTACAGCTAGAGAAAATTTGGGGGGCTTGCAGGATAGCTCAGGGGGCTGACTGCAGGTTAGCTCAGTTGTTTAAAGCGCATGTTTGGGCAAACTCAGTCAGGTTCAGGGGACTGTGGTTCGATCCCCAGCTCTACATGCCACACCAGACCCACCCTTAAGGCAGCCTGAGCCAGCCAAAAAAAGGAGAATTTTGCAAGGGGAAGGGCACTTCCTGCCTCCTTTCCGTGTCCTTTCTCCTTTCTCCTAGTTTCCAGAACAGGAGAATTTTGCAAGGATTGCATCTAGCCTCATCCCAAGAGGACGCTAACCAGGCAAGGGGTGTAGAAGAAAACTAGCCTGGTGTTCAAGGAGTCAAAAGGTAAATGACAAAAGAGAACCACAAGCAGGACAGAGGAGGGGCCTCATAAAACTATGTCTGAAAAAGGTCACCCTCAGTTCCTGGGTAGGCAGGTTCCTCCCGAGAACAGAAAACTTCACCCCACACCATGATCTACTGGGAACAGAGCGGTTCACGCTCCCATCTTCCTGTGCTTGAGACAGAACTCAATGAATCAGTTAAGCAAAATGAAATCAGTTAAACTTCCGGGGTGCTCAGGCTTGGTAAATTTTCCCATGGGAAAAACACAGGTGATTCGTCAAACATCTAGAATAGTCCTCAGAAA